CCCATGGCTGCAGTCCTCCCTACTCCCACTTCTTTTAAACTAGGATGTGTGTGTATCAGAACTTTCTAGTCCACTGCCTGAAGAGAATTAAGTGTGTAATTGCTGAGAGTGAGAAAGCTCGCTCTTTGTGGTTTAGGAAACACTTTTTTTGCATGCTGATTTTCATCTGAGCTTGTTGCAATGATAAAAATTACCAAAAGCCTCAGTTTGATAAATTGGAGAGTATTTTTAGCTGATTTGACTTCACATTACATGTCTAGTATGGGATTAACAGATGAATTACCTTTAAGCTTTAGAATTTCCATCTTTGCCTTGCTTTTAAGCAGCTGTATTCCTATCTGGTCCTACCTAGCAAATGCCACGGTCCCGCACAGCTGCCTGAAATGTTGTAGGCCTTCAACTTAGAGAACAGAGTTCTCTCAGACACCTTTACCTGTATCAGTAAATGGGAAAACATCAAATAAATTAAAACACAGAGTTGTTCTTGCAGCCAGAATGCAAAACACCTGTAGCTGTATCAGATACATATCACGAATGCATGCATATACCTACTCATAATGTACACACACAGGCTTACAAACCTGAGATGCTATCCCATGCAGATCACAAACCTGAAAGACTGAATCTTATCTGTAAAGCACAGACAACACAGGCAGAAGTACGTGATCAGGGCAGAATGTGATGTGCCACTGTGCAGTGCCCAGTGCTGGCACCAAGCCTCAAACAGGTCATGTTTCTGAAATACAGCCACCTGACTATGGGGTGTGTGACCACTGAAGCCTGATCTCGCACTGTAAAAGGCAAATCTATTAGCACACATGTACAGAACTGCAGCCTGTAAATCTTGTGTGTGTTCCCACAGGAAAGACAGCTAAAGCAAAGAGAGGCCTTGTTCAAACTCAACTCAGTGACTGAGCATTTTTTCTACATTAACAGCAAACTCTTAAACTAAATGGGGATCAGTAAATAAGCCTTTAAATGATGACAGATAACAAGCACAGGCTTTTAAACTGGACAAATCAACAGAACATACACAATTATATTTTTTAATTAGAATTGGAAGCACACAGCCTTCAATTAACACCGTGCTGCAGTAAAGAGCCACTCAAGCTTTTTCCCCTGCTAAGATGAATGACAGAGTTAATTCCAGATTTGACAAATTCTAATTAGCTCAAACGCCCTGTCCATAGCAATTGGGGTGGGGTGGGTTACTTTTTTAAACCAATTCTCTACCAACTTTTGCTAGCAGGCAGGATCCAATTCAGATGTCCGATCAATTCCAAACTCCTACCCTAAGCAAGTGGGCAGCAGGTTTGGCTTTGCGTATTTGTTTTTACACAAGACACTCAGAGCATCATTTTTACATATTACCATGACAGAAAAGAGACTTTCTGGTAGCTAGTAGCAATCTGTAAACAAGCTCAGAAACATTTCCATTTGATGCCACCAACTTGGAACATTTACCCGATTTTTGGTCAGTGGTGCTAAGCCACAGCCGTTCGAGGCTGCCCTCAGAAAGAGCCCTTTTCTGATTTTCTTCCAGTGACAAAACCTTCCCTTGCTGTTTCAAATCTTCCTGTTCTCTTCTATTTCCACTGCAGTAGGGTGGGAGAGAAACCACCAGTACTGGATTGTGTCACACACACACCATTGTTGTGCAATTAGAGAAAATCGGATCTGTTCTTATCAGCACCTCAATGATTTATCCTTGATGAGAGAAAAACTTCCTCATATCAATTTCCAAAATAAGGAGAATCACTGAAAGATCTGGTCTTTGGAAGACTATAATAATGCTTGCATTCAAGCATCATCATATCTGAAAGAAGATTAAACTGGTACTTAAAGCAATCTCCCAATTTGCTCCCTAAGCCTTAGTACTTTGTTTCATCTGATCAGTTGTTTGTCACTGTAATTTACTACGCCAAATCTAAAACTACTTCAAGCTTGAAAACTCCTGAGGGCCATGATTAAGCATTTGCTCATTATCACTCAGGCATGCTTCCAGATGCTAAAAATACTGGAGTAAACACAGATGATAGAGCAGATGAGTAAAAGGCAGAGAAATGTCCCAATTTTCTGCCTGGAAGATAAGCACATTTCAGCACAAACCTCTCTGCAGATTTGTCTTACCAAAGAAGGCACATACATTCTTCTAGTCCAGCATCCTATTCTCCAGCTGGAACTATACCCACTAGTCCATACTGTCCTTTGCTTTTTCCTAAGCATTTGCTCCCTGTCACTGTCAGAAACAAGACCTGGAGCTAGACAGAGCTTTAGTTTGTCCTAGTACGAAGAGTCTCTGGTTTTCTCTAAGGGATTACATACTGATTGATTTTGCACTGTTTTAGCAAGGACTGTAAAAGCATTTTTATAAGGTTTTGCTTAACCTTAATTCTCAAGTTTAACCAAATCTCCAATCTAAAAGACATCTTCATTTTTTGCTGTGTTCCTAAATATGTGCCAGTTCCACCTTCATTTCTTTGTTACGTGTTTTAGGCCTTCCCAGTCTCGGTTAAACAGTACACCCTTCTACTTCTGTGACAGCGGTATTCCAGGCAAATACATTCACTGCAACAGTATAACCATATCTACATTACTTTAAATCCTTCTTAGATACCCTCAGAAGCCCTGCTTGTTTCTGAACTGTCCCTTGCAGTTCTCAAGATGTGGAAACTACTGGCAACTTCCCAGAGACATACTTTGGAATTTATTTAACCGTATCATTGCTTTTTACTGGAATTAATCCCAGGACAGCAAGTGGATCATGAGGTCCAGCTGCTTCACCTACTGTCCTTCCTGGAACAGTGTGCTAAAATGCTGTTCTCTCTAAGGGCCTTAGTATAATGGTAGACAAGTGTTTTCTCCAATTTACAAAAGGAAAAAGACTACAATCAACACTGAAATTCTTAACAGGAAGACTGATTTTCTTAAGCTTCCTTTTAAAGACCAGTAGCTTTTAGTTTTTAGCCATTTTTGCATGATTTTAACAGTTCATGACATGCCATCTGCTCCCACAGCCTAGTTAGTCAACAAGACCCCTGCATGCAGGGACGTGGAACAATTGTCCCAACACTGAAAGGAAACCTGATTTTGTTAGGAATAAAAAAAACACAACCTTGGCAGAAAATTGAACACTTAAAGACAAAAGTGTCAACACTGGAAAAAGTGCAGTCCTTAATGGTACTCCTACTTATTTTGTAAGAGTAGTAACTGTTTCTGCTAGTAAGAAAAAGGATTCTATGCGAAGGCATATATATGTCAAGCAAACATACAATATGCAGCCCCCCAGACTTAAAGAGTAAAGCAACCATATTTGTATAAAACCAGGAGGCAGGAACAGGTTGCCAAATGGCACCTTCCATAGTTAACCTGGAATTTATCTAGCAGCTTGAAGGATTATCCAGTCCGAACACACTATAGTTCACATACAACAACCCTTCCTAGGATCCCTGCTTGGGAATGCAGCAGTGACTGGCTCCTTCAGTGTTGCACCACTGGAGCAGCACACACACAACCTGACACAGTGCCAGCACCCAGGAGCCAGGGATCAGCACTGCTTCTAAGCACTGGATGGAGGGAGGGAACTGAGCAGCCAGGCTAGGGGCTGGGACTGACTGACTAAAGCACAAGAAGTGATCTGATCCTTTGCATCTTTATGAAACAATGATAAACGTGGGCTATAAAGATGTACAGAACAATCTAACATCTATGTCATCTGGACCACTTTACTAGTTCTTAACTCTCTTTTACCAGCAGGCTTTCGGTGGCTGGACTTTATGGGCTATGAGCATGTGTCAGTTCTGAAGGAGGAGTCAGCCTTTCAGCAAGGCTCACAGCAGGACAATCCAGCAGGCACTGCCCTCCAGCCACCGGCATGGAAGTAAGTGACAAGCTTCTCCTGCACATACATACTGTCTGACAGAAGTATTTGGGAAACTAGGGCCCCACGACACTAGCTCTTAACGATGGCAGTTTCAGGGAATACACGAGGGCTGCCGCAAGAAAGAAATGGACGTGTTGAGAGGTAAAAGCCATTCACTGAGGGATCACTGCGAGAGATTAGAGTCCATTCCTCCCATCTCTGAGGTGCACACAATCCAGCACACAAGAAAGTCTTGGTTCATTTTCACTAAACAAACTTGCTCCCATTTATGCAAAGTCAAACCCAGCAGTTTACATTTCAAATTGCACTTGTAAAGCCCAGACTGCTTTCCATTAAGTTAATCAAAGGCAGACTATTTTGTTTTCCAAGACGAGACAACCCGCAAGGCCTGTGGCTACTCCAATCCCATATGGTATTTTTATATCCATTGCTGCATTCTTAATGGCATAAAACAAACCACCTCAGGCTTCCTTTTGAAAAATAAAACTTGCTCTCAAAAGGAAGATGACTGTCTTGCTCATCCCACTTGTCATTTTTGTGAATCAGAGGCCAAAAGTGCACACCATCTTTCCACAAAACTTATTGGCTGCCTGAATAAATGCTCAGAAAGAAAGGCAGGAAAGTGTAACAGGAAAGAGAACTTGCTGAGAAGGGACACATCTAGAAATCACCAGTGTCACAGTAACTGGATACACTTGGCTCAGAGCAGAGCACCATTTTCTTGCTCCAGTCTGGAAACCTTTATATCCAAGAGTCCTGTTAGCATGATTCCTGACAAGCACGAAAGAAAGGTCTGACAGACCTGAGAGAACTTACTTCCACTGCAGGTGACATTGTTCTATTATGTACCTCAGGTATCATTATAAATAGAATAGAAATCTTACTTGTTTAAAAAAAAAAAAAAAAAGAAAAATCCAAGTTGAAACAAATCTTTTCATCCACCATTCCGGCTTGGTCAGTACTGGCAAGGTGAAGTGGAACATGTGGCATCAGGAAACGGCAGCACTAAAACTGAGACCTGATAGTTCAGGTAAGAAAAGTGCAAGCAAAAAAAAGTAAAACCACCAAGAGGGAGGTTGGGTCCAGCCTTGCTACTCCCTCCGTTTCTGCTCTGCTGCTATATTTCTCCTTCTTCATCCGAGCTCACACTGCTGCTTCCACTGCTGCTGCTCCCACTCTCGCTGCTCTCTTCCCGCTGGGCCTGGCTGTGGGCTGCTGCTGCCGCCGCCGCTGCTGCTGCTGCCTCCTTCTCTTGCTGCTTCAGTGCAGCTGCCTTCTTTTCCTGCTCTGCGTGGCTTTTCATGTGAGCACTGCGGCTCTTCACCTTGTAGAAGACCCTGAGGAAGCACACACATACGTTAGCATTGGTCTCTCCTACAGCCTCCTCCATTAATTCTCCAAAAGAGCTTCTGCTGCTCTAGCCCCAAAAGTTTGTGAGCTTCAGCACAGGGACTCGAGTTGGCGTTGGCATTGCAACAGAGCATCTACAGCAAACAGCACTTCTGATTCTGCGTGTGCCAGCACAGAGTGGAATGCCAGCAGGAGATCCTGAGCACCCTCAAATTGCTCACTTCATTTCTTAATATGTCCATTTCCTCTTATCTTTCCTTCAGCTCTTAAATGTTCTAAGTTCAAAGAGGCAGTGCTGGTATCTGAAATATTCACATGCTGGTTTTTAGGCATTCCCTCTATGCCGCAAAAGTCAATAAACATAGAGGTGAACAACAGCCAAATGCCACTCCTGAGCCTTATCCACGCAGCCAGAAACACTTGAGCTTTTTCCTCCTAACTTCACACTTCTATGATTTAGCTCTCCATCTTTCCCAGTAACTATCTGGATTTTGCACCAAATGCCACAAGAAAAGTTTAGACACCATTAAGAATCCTTGCTTGCTTCTCCTTTATCAGTGGCCAGGACCAAATCCCAGCTGCCTGACTACTCACAGCACTGCCCTTTCCAATGCCACATGCTCCCTGAGGGCATAGAGGAAGGGCACTTTGTCAGGGCAGGTGAAGTCCCAGGAACAGCAAGAATGTGTCAACAGCCCTGGTTGCATAAACAGACAGAATTTGCATTTTCTTGCCATCCCATAGCTTGGTGCCTTTTTTAAATAAAGGGATCACCACTGGTATTGCAAGACTATTGTTTTAAAAGTAAGAAATTAATGTAGGGAACTGAACTTTCTGGAAGTTTATGAATCTATTGGCAACAAACCTACAAAACCTACTAGAACCATGTAAGAGAAGACAAATGTACGTTTTACTGACACAAAATATGGATGTGAGTTTAACCAGATGAACTGTGTGCCCATTGGCCTAATACTTGCTGCTAAAACAATGGTATTGTCTTGTATTCCTATGCTGCTGTTCATAAGTAAGTCTATCCCATGTTCTTAATATGTGATCTAGCAAATATAGAGAAGTTACTCATTACAAAAACGTGGCAATACAGCAACTGTTTGAAAGTGCAGCTTAACACCAAATAGTGCACACAGTTAGAATGCAGGTGGTGTCTCATTCCATCTGAGGAAAAACATCAGACGGTAGTTATCCAAGTACTGGTATCTTAATATATGTAAAAATCACTAATCTGTGAGTATTAGTGGGGTAATAGGTCATTAAAAGTATTGCCAGTGTCTCTGGCCTAAACAGACAGAAGGAGAGCTCATCTGAGAATAAGCTTTCACAGGAGATGCACCACTGCAGTTGTGTTACTATTGCTGGACATGGAGTTGCTCTTACCTGCCACATTTTTTACATGGAAATGCGTTTTCTGTGTTTGGAGTTTTACTAGTAGCATCTGATTTTATCTTCTGTTTCCGCCTCCTCCTCTGCACTGGAGCAGCAATAGGCTTTCGAGGCTTCACTGTTGCCTCCCTCGGCTTCCTTCCAACTCTGCCTGTGACAGTTGCCTCTTGACTCCTCAGACTGGCATCACTGGCCTTTGGAGAGAAGGGGACAGTTAAGGCAAACTGAAACTTAAACCCACTATCAAAAGCCTGAGCTCCTGTGCTTCATTTATTCCAGACCAGGGTTTTATTTAACGAGAAAGCCTTCAGCATATTTTCAGGACATTTCTCATCACAGTCCTATGGGCACCAACCACAAAGAATTATATTGGGTTTTTTCCCCCCCTTTACTCATCCCCACCACAGCACACAGTTTGGTTGCTAGGAATACTCTAAGCTATCTCAGCCCAGTCCCTTGCTCTGGGAGAAGTCAGAGGAGGAAACTTTTTACATGTGGAACCATCCACCTGCTATTTTCTAAACCAGCTGCAGAGTGAAGGTGGCACAGAAAGCACAACATGCACAATGCAGCACTTACTGTTACACCATCTTGTAGTGTCTGTTCATCTTTGAGTGGAACTGTGCTGCTCTTCTTTCTGTTATCCAACCCTTCCTCTGCCTCTTCTTCTTCCTCCTCCTCTTCTTCCTCCACATGCCCCTGTTCTTCACTGTAAATGTCCCTTCTGGGAGGAAGAACACGTGCAAACCTATGGGAACTCTTCACCAGAAGATAAAGGAACTGTTAATTTTGGTGTTTGTAAGTAAATGTCATTGTGTGACACAGGACACAATTTTGTGAGTCTGGACTCCTCCACACTGGCCAGACTGTTCCTGCTTCTGATTTTACCAACAAATGAGACAACACACAAATTCAGACTTCTCACCACCGCCCAAAAGTGAGAAGAATTTAGGAAATTACCTTGATGTCTACTTCAGCTTCATCTTTCATCGATTTCTCATTAGCAACATCAATGTCCCCAAAGATTAAGGTCCCATTCCGACCAATTTTCACCTGTTTCTTGTACGTGTAGTAGAATTCCACACACTGGGCCACTGTTTTGGTTTTTATCTGGTGTTTAAAACACATGAAAGTCCAATGGATTACATGATTTTAAGAAGCCTTATAAGTAATTACTAAAGGCGCAATAAATACACTTTGTATTTTTGTTTCCTCAGTAGTCTCCATTCGGCCACAACAGCCATTCAAGTCTTCTTTTCTGTGTCATGTTTGTCTGTATGCCCCATCCATCCCACAACCCATCCCCCATTGCCACTGTTAATCACTGAGAACTACCAGGACCAACTTTCCCAAGAAAAGCTGGTCAATGTAAAGGTGACAGAACCCAGCATTTTGTAAGCTTAATGCACCTCTTCACCTCTGAAATGTTCCAATTGAGCTGTCAGGCTTGAGAGCAGCCTTTCAGTTTTATGGGAGAGCTTTATTTTCCATCAGCACTTCAGAGAAAACCAGGCCAGAATACCAAACCAAAAATGGAAAGGAAGCTTTGCAGCCCTTTCCCATTTTGGCCACATGCATTTCATATGCATATGGTGGGAGACAATGATCAGTACAGACCTGTGATGGTCTACAAATTCTCCATCAGTGATCTTTCTGCAAGTTTTGGCACATATTCTTAGCTTCTGGGCTTTTGCAAGTTAAATGCCTTTTGTATACAGCTCCTGCAGTGATTTGGCCCCTACTCGAGTGTCATGCCTCGTGAAAGTAGATGGTGGCAATCACTTTTACTATCATTGTCACAGTAAACTAGAAAGAGAGATCCTATAGGATGCATCATTCCTATATCCTTCTTTGGTACTTTTCATCTGTAGCAAGGATGTGTTTTTATTTAGTTTTATAAGCAAGCTATTTAAGCTGTACTGGAACGTTACCACTGTGCTGCTCTGTAAATACACCCTGTAGAAGTGGTATCTGCAGTGTGGACTAATGGAACTAACGCCATAAGTACAAGGGTTAAGTAAACAACAACAGCAAACCAAACGCTGTTGTTCTAGCTTTCTAGTGAGATTTTGTGCTGTGCTGTGCTGCATGGTAACATTTCTCTGAGATCTTGAGTGCAGAACTTAATACTGAGGTTTCAGGAAAATCAAGAGCTCCCTGTATTAAATGCTCAATAAACATGTAAGAATGTATCAAGAATGCATAGTTGTTGTCATTAAAATAAAAGGGGGGGAGGGAAGTAACTTACAAGTTTTTGGACCAAGAAAAAGTCTTTCTTGTAGATCGCAATTCCTTTGTTGAAAAGTTTTTTTTCAGCAACTTTCCACTTGTCTGATCCTGTGGAAAACAAAAAAGTTGTGACAGAAGCAATTCCAAATGTTCACTCTTATACATGTGCTTTGCCTTCAAGACCAAATATACACATGCAAGGGTGCAGTCTCTCATCACACCTAACCCAGCTTAACTGCAGGCTGCTGTTATCCTGTCCTCTACTGCTTCAGCCCTCCCCTTATCACTTCCCATGTTAGATCTAGTACTCATCACCACAGGTTAACTCAGTTCAGCTTGCAAAAGGAGTCAAGTAGATGAACTAACACAGTTTGCAACAAAAGAAGCAAGGTGAAAAAAAGCACCACTTTGTGGTGGCCCAGTCATTAGATCTTATAGAAGGGAGATGGTGGGGCAGGAGACCAGATCTTGTCTTTCAGCAGCAATTCACTGTACTTGAAGATGCATTACATCTCAATTATTTCTACTGTCCTAGCACCCTTGCCTCTAATAATAAGCACATTTTGGGATTTTCTCCTGTCACACAGATATCATTCAAGTAATATTTCCAAACCATTACAATAGGAGAGTGTCATAATTAAGAAATGTAATCGCTGTGCTTTGTGGTGCTGGCTATTAGATGCCTCTCTACCACCTTATGTCAGGTCTTTTGGGTGGCTGGGTTCGCTCTAGATCACTGAAGTTAGTATCACACACCTGACTATTTTCTAATTGGGTACATGACTACAAGGGCAGATTATGGCATTTAAATTTTGCAGAAACATTGACATGCATCAATAGTTGGCTGAGCTTTCTTCAGCAAGCTTGAAAACACTTCCCATAAAACCCCCTCTGAACTCCACTCTGGAAAGTCATCCCAGAGAGGCTGTGGTTCTGAGGTTACCACAGCCCTTCTGCATGTACTAGCTATCTTTCTGCATTCTCCATAGCTCAGTGTAAGGGATCACATTCCCTTTTCCCCATAAAGGAAATCAGAACACACGCATGCACATGTTCTGAGAGATGCAGTGTTTCTTACATCATAAATGTCATAATTTGCACAGGCAAAACTGCTAGCAAGCCATCATTCAGCTTATCAGAAGAGTGATCTTTTCATCTTATTGTAACATTCAAGAGTTCCCCAAAAGAGCATAAAAGGATAGAAAAATTCCTTTATGATAGACAGACAGCACAGAGTTTTTCTGGTTAATGTACCTGTGTAGTGATAATCTGCCAAAGGGTGGGTAGGCGATCGTACTGGCCTCTGCAACAGCAGTTTGGTCAAAGCTCCCTAAGATAAAGACAAACAAAATAGTACACTTAAGGTCTGGAATATTTAAATCCAAGATCAAGCAATTGTTAATCCTCTCCTTTCTGGCAAGCTAACTGAAAAGAACCATAGCACAGTTTACCATTTGGGACAGTTCAACATATGGAACAACTTTAAAAATCACATTCTTGAGTATCAGGACTGAGTTTTGAGTACCACAGGCAAGTGTTAACTCTCAGCACCTCTTCATATCTCTGTGAATTGACACTTTCCAATGCAACCACTACAGTACTGGGAGAGAGTTAATTTCATAGACAGAGACCATGCAGCAGTTTCCTCTCATTTACTGAAGGCCTCAGTTACATACCTCCAAAACCACTGCCCTAAATGATGTCTGTCTGAAGCATTCAAGTCATTGTGATCTTATCTCACTTAACTAAGCAATATTTCAAAATAAAACACAGCAAAGACAAAGATTACACATACACAAAAATACCCCAAACCTCTCTCACTGCTTTCTTACTTTGCATTTAAACTGGAAGCGCTTTCAAAGTTAGGAGGAAGGAAGGAGGCGAGTCATGCTTCCAGTAGCAGTTTAAACCGGCTAACAGCGAGCTCCTGCTGCCAGGGTCTGCCCTGCTCCTGCCTAATGCCGGCAACAGCTTTCACAATGGCATACTGGTTCTGGGACCCTAACTAGCACAAACCTAACATGAACACACAGAAATTACTCTTTATTTGTACTCTTCTCCAACACAGGTCGATACAGCCTCACAAGTGTCAGTGCTGGCACACTACAGGGGACAGAAAACAAGCAGCCAGGCTTACTCCCGACTACAGGTCTGATTTATGCCAGGTCAAATCAATCATAGAACTATAAAAGGATGACAACCCTGTGCCATATGCTATGCTTTGCTTTTTGATATTACCTCCCAGGGGTGTCAAAAGGCATTATGAAGGTGAATCATGGCTTACAACACTGATATAAAATCAGCAGTACAGCCATTCTATAGACACGTGCAGGGAAGTTAAATGGACCTGCCAAAAGTAAGAGGAGCAAAACACTGCACTTTATGGTCTCAGCTTCAGCCCAGTCTCTTATTTTTCCTGCCAACATGGTCATCTAGGAAGACAACATTTAAGATTCATTTAGCAGTCTCAGCTCACTCACCCTGTCAGTCTGTTTGTTAAAAAGCCAAACATGTTGAAGTTGAAAATATGCAAGATAGTAAGTGAACATGGCATGGTACATGAGGCAGAACCCACTTTAGAGGCATTCAAGGGACACTAAAAAGTGAGAACCAGATGCACAGGAAGGAGTTTCTGGAAGGCTCTCCTCTCAAGAATGACAAGTTATCTGGCCTTCATTAACACCTTTGACCACATCAGGATAAAAAGCTGGGGAGACTCACCAGAATGCTTCCCTTTGCTTCATGTAAGAAATGCAACGCCAGCTCCTGGTTGGTTCCAGCTCCAGGAAAAATGCTTGAACAGGCAGCAGCTAGCAGGTTTTCCACTATTTCCACAGAGGTACCAAACAAATTCAGATAAGAAGATTAAAATGGAGTTTCCTACAGGATTCGCACAGTTAACTAGCTCTTTTGAAGCAGAGCTAGACGTAACAGAAAGTAACACTCTCAGAGAAGTTGAATGTCCTTGCAAATTTATCTGGGTCAAATTTGGACGCCAGAACTGCAAGGTCATGTGGCATTACTCTGCATTCAGCACTATTTACACATGGAGTTTCTTGCAAACCTCCTCTCTCCTATAATGTCTTCTCATCTCTCTTCACCTCAGAGATTTCCTGAATCCCCCATTATATTGTAATTTCCATTTCCCCATACCCTTTTTCCTCTCTCTCATCAGAAAGATCTCTTCTAAGTCTGCCCACTTCCTCTTCCCTTCAGGATTTATACATGCCACAACCTACGTGCACCAACAGCAGACAGCTGCCCAAGCCTGCTACTAGCTGCCACAACTCCTGCTTCCTCATCCTGACTTCCACCTACAACTTGATTCTTCCAAAATACTGTTATACCTAGAACACCCCTTGAAAATACAGAAGTTGAGAGCATGTGGTTTTCAAATGTTAACAAAGACGATGAAGCTTCATTGAGCAAAAGGCTGCTCTTTGCCTGACTTGTAACAAATGGTCCAATTTTATCTTAATTAAAAAACAAACCTGATCAACCTCCCAACCAACACATGCAACCTGATAATAAGTTTTACTCCTAAGATTGTGTTCATGTCAAACATGTCACTTGACTGGGAGCTCTGAGAGTTTAAATTATGCCTACAGTAGGTATGTGGTTACCCCTACAGCAACTGTGACAATTCAGTCCTATTTACCAGCCTTCCACATCCTTACCATTCTCTTGGGTGACTTTGTTGGTTTCCAGGTCGCCCCACGGCTGCCACACCAGCTCTGCTTTATGTTCATCATCTGCTGCCAGAGATCTGTCTTGGAGTGATGGGATTTCTGCTTGAAAGCGAGTTCCTACATTTATTCTCCTGCAGAAAAGGTAAAAAGTAACAGTCAGCCCCACTTTACACTATCCAGAAAGTCTCCATTTCTGCCAGAAGCACTAATTATGAAATTGAAATGCAGCAGGCTCTTGCATATAACATGAACAGCTTTCAGGTTACATTTATGACTCAAAAGGTGAGAGGTTTTACATCTATTATGAGTTTCCACTGTGTTATCAACAATGGTTGAAATCGTATTTAAATTAGGATCCCCTGATAACTGCTCAAAGAACAGTTACTAGCTTTCAATAATCATCACTTTTTGAGAGGCTGTCACACAAAGTTCTCTTATGGCAAACTTGCTCCTCATGCATAGGAGGAGCCTGTTTAGTATTAATGTTTTGCCAGCCATAACTACAGAATCAACAATCTCATACTTCTAGAGTCTGAATTAGCAGAGAGATTACTCACAATATGCAATCCACATGCTTTAAGTGAGCATCCACTGAGATTCTACTCTTTACTGGCAAACATGATTTTGTGCATAGAGATAGGTAAGAACCACCATTAAAAGAGTGCTCTACCAGGCTTGGAGGTCTACAGCAATAGCACAGCAAGCAGTGAGAGCACAGACATCCTTTGTCACTATTCTACATCTCTTACTCAGTGGCAAAATACGCTGAGACAGCAGTAGCTACAGAAACTCAGAGTGAAGTAAGTCCAAGGACAACTTTCTAAGTAATAAAGAAACTATGCATGCAATTCAGAGGTCCACAAGACAAAGCAAAAGAGTCCAAGCTAAGACAGCAGAAAGACTCTTCAGAAAACAAAGATGCCAGAAAACCAAGATATTTGAGAACAGCTGCTGCTCAGACCACTTAGAATATAATGAAAATCTCCTATTCTGAAATAAAGATAGCTGTGTTTAATGTGAAAAATCATTCCTCTTTCAGAAGTCAGTCAACTAGCACCATACTGGTAGCTCCTGAAAGAGTTAAAGGACAGATAAATAAGCTCTTTTTTGAGATAGTAGTCAAGCAGTGCCCACAAGATGATTAAACCCTGGAGTTGCTTCATTGGAAAGTCTTGGTGTGGTTCCCTCTCAGCATGAAGGGGGACACAATTACCAGAGAAAAAGCATGATCTAGCACAGTAAGGAATAGTAACAAAACCAGCTAAGAGATTACAGCCTCTTCTAGTCCTCTGCTGTTCTGAAATACCACTAAAGACTGTGGTATCAAAAGGAAGGAAGAGGGTATCATTTTCTGCTATGGAAGGGGAATAAGGAAACACCTTCATTCCCTTTTTTCTATGTAACACATCACTTTGGTAACTGTCAGTAAGCATCTGCATCATGAGATGTCATAAGCTGGAAAAGCCTGCATTCAAAACAAATGGCTGACTTCTACACACATACAAAGATACTTTACAAACTACTTCTTTTGCATCTGTAGCAGATCCAGATCTACTTCCTCACACTTGATGGGAATAGCTTACAATGCATGTGAATATAAACAAAGAGATGCATAAGATGACTACCCTACATGCTTGTTCTGACTTCATCCACACATTCAGCAGCAGCTTGACATGGATGGATTGGGATTCCCACTTGGACAAGCAGAATCTGCCAGATGCACAGGCTGATGCTAACTTCCTTCCACCAGGTGACACATGAGGTTAATGTGGAGTCTTCTGTTTACTGTGAGTAGTCTCCCTTACTGTTATGGCCTGCAGTCTCACAGGGCAGGGGAAGGGTTATGGATTATGATCCACCCTAGAAGGGGTGACTGCTGGAAACTGACACTGATGTCAGCTGGGAACAGATAAAAAGGCTGTTACTGCATTGGGAAATTTGGGAGATTCTGTGTCCCAAGGCATGGAATCCTCTGGCCTCACCTGTGAGAGGGAGAGAGGCAACTGGAAAAGTTGGAGTGAAGAAAGTGGGCCACCTTGAAAGGCTATCAGAAGTTACTTCTTATCTTAAAACATGGCATCCCCAAGCTAGAAAAGCCTAAGAATTAGTAGCCCTTGTACCTGCAACGCCCAGATAAAACCAGATTTCTACTGAAGAGTTCACCTGAGTAACCTGATCTAATTTGGCCTGCTCCAAGCGGGGGCTTCAACCAGATGACCTCCAGAAGTCCATTCAAGCTACGTTATTCCATGATTCCTTCATTGATGAAGCTGAGATTTCAGTGCAGCAAAAGCTCTTGCCTGTAAGCACCAGCAGTGCTCCTGGGAAGCCCCGGCTCACGGCTGAGTGTGGTAACATCCATAACTGAGGCTGTGAATTGGGAAGGCAATTCCCAGCTGAGGCACCACAGCTATACTTAAGGCTGGCTGAGCGGTGACTGGGTGACTTCAAGACTTTGAAGCAACTGAACTACAAAACCAGCAGGACACAAGGATCTGCAACATCAGCTGCCTCTTGTACTACTTCACAAAGAGAAAAATTAAGCTTCATTATCCCATTTCCTATTCTAAATCTCTGCAATGCAATGACCTCTTTAAAAGCATTAGCAGAAGGTCTTGCAAAGCATAAGCAATTAACACAATATCAGGTAATCACAAGCTATAATCAACGTCTAATAGAGTTAACACTACAAATCAAATTAAACATTTAAAGAAAAGCTCCTGGCCATCCTTCCTTTATAGAAGATATGTCTACATAACTGACCACAACGGTGCTGCACAAGCTTTAGAGCAGCAAACTGATTACTCTGACAACATAGAATAACACAGTTTGTTAATTTATCTTGGTTAAAAGTTAAAGCTATGTACCTGCATAAGCATCTGCTCAGTAAAACTTTGGATAACAGCAAGACAAGTCTTTTGGCAACAGGAAATCAATGTGTATTACTAAATTACTATGGTTTGAAATTTCCAGCAATAAATTTGAAACATTTCACACATGACTAAAATTGCAGCTGATTTTATATCATTAACTTCAGCAAATTTAAATCAGACACAACAGCCAAAGAGAACTGCACCAGAAAGAGGTCAAACATCAAGTTGAGGTCAGGAGGGGAACGCATCAAAAAAAAATCTGTCCAAGAGGAGGTTCCCCTGGGTTACTGTGAAATGAACCACCAACAAAAAGTTTAATTAAGCCATTTTCAAAACAGATTTAAACAACACCAAATGTGCTTATTTCTATGAATGGGCTCAGTCTGGAAGGGATTTGTAAAGGTGACAAGAATAACCTGGGTTCATTCACAATTGTAACATCTGCTCAGGACAACCTGCTGCCAAAAGTGCAGAAAACTCAGCTTCAAACAGTAAGGCAGAATGCAAAAAGGATGAGTTTAAAAAACAAAGCAAATACTTCAGTTAAAATATAAACTATTTTGGAAGAAAAGTAAAAGAAGCCTGGTATTTATCTGGGGAGAGTCTGAGTTAAATACCTCAAATGTTACAGGGTATGGTGCAGCTAGAGCAGAGATTCCTGACTGCAGAGTGAGCCAATGCAGAGCCACCTGGGTGTTTTTGTGCTATATGGGTGTTTCCATGCCATGCATCTCCATGTTTAGATTTCACAAGAGTTCATGAACCTAAGTATAATAATGAATTGGAACTACTTTGCTGTAGCTTTGCAGTGCTCAACTTGAGCTGGTAACATACTCCCAGAGGGTTTGCAAGGGCTGTGCAGAGACATTTGCTATTCTGCTTTTTTTGCTACTCTGCTCAGGTTTAGCCAGACTGGCATCAAGCCTAAGCTCCTAACTCCAGCTTCAATATCCCCAAACTGTGTTCCCTAGTGCTGTTGGCTCCACACATCTGAGCTTTCCCAGCACACAGCCAGCTAAAAAGACTGATGAGGCTCATTAGCTCAGGCCACACTGTATGCAACTGGCTGTAGTGCTTTCAAGACTGAGCTACCCAGGATGGAGCAGAACCATGTTCACAGTTGCACTGCAGCTGGCATCTACCACATGGATAACCTGCAGTCTGAACAATCCATATGACAGCTAACTACATTTTTCCATACTACCTTTAGGCCTCCCTCTGAAGAAGCATTACTTCCTCACTCTAAACCAAACATACAGCATACAAAGCAGTGATTTTAAACAACAAAACAGGACAGATTCACGTTTAGCTAATCAACAGTATTTCACCCCAGAGCAGTAAAAGAAAGCAGTTAACATCACCGGAATTACAAGGTGTCTTTGCCCAAACAAACATTATTTATCATGTTGAGTATTTTTACATAAAGGCAATTGTGAGTCACCAATATGAAAAGCTTTAATATTTCTAATAGACCCATCAGTTGTACAGGGAGCAGCTTGAAGGTTTAAGAAGAAGAAAGGAAGCACATTTACTACCAGACTAAGACTCTCCTGGGAACTTACGGTTCAATGCTGACCGGCGTGGCTTCTCCCACTACTGTAAGAACAGGAGGGGTAACTTCTGTACTGTCTGCAAGGAAAAGAAAGAACTGCTCAGACAGCTCATCTTCATGCTTGAGATACACTTTTCATACAGCTTGTAAATCTCATCAGCGCTATCCATCTCTCCATAAAGGTACCCACACACTAAAGGAGTTTAAGAAGCCAAGAACTTACCTTCCAGTAACCATTTGCATCTTAGTAGTAACTATTTGCTGTCCCCTCAGTTCGAGATACCAAAAATCTATTACAGAGGAACTACCCTTTCCATTCCGAAGAACGTCAGTAGGGGGTGTTGCAGATCACTTGTGAGTCTGCGTGGCATTTTAGTACGTGTGCCCCGATGAGAGCAACACTGCGTTTCCTCCATCCTAGCTCCCCAGACTATCATGAAGAAGCCACAGTTCCACATAACCACACTTCTTAAAGTCATGATCTTCCGCCTATTACTCCATAGTTCCTAATCATAAATTAGCCAAGAAAGGAAGGATAAAATGGAACTTACTTGATCTAAGCAGAGTTCTGTGAGCACTTTTAGGAGTCATTGGAGGTGGAACAGAATGACCGCTTGAAGAGAGGATAGCATTAAAATACAGCCCAGATCCTTCTCTCACTGGGCTAAGAATTGGTGGAGGAGTGTAAGGAGGTAGCTCGAAGTTCCTGTCCGAAGGATGATCTGCCAGACGGACAGGTGACCGTAAGTGGCTCTGATATGGAGTAATGTTAGAATAAACAGGTGGTGCAATGAAGGTGCCAGCTTTTGGTGGAATGAAGAGTGGCTCAGGTCGTGGCCGCTGCTTTGGTTTCCGGGCAAAGCCCTCTGCTTCATCCTTTGGAACAGCATCTTCATGCTATTAGAAAAAAATTATATTCTTAATTTCATTTCAAAACCCCAGGTCTTTTGAGAAACTTCAGCGAGATGACAACATTCTTTCATGACAGCTCAAAATCTGGATAGGACAGCTGGAGCATGTCTCAACAACCAGCATGAAAGGAAAGAGGGAAGAAGGTGATGGGGAATGGAAAGGACACAGGAAATACTAGGTAGCAATACTAGCCCCAAGTGCTTATGAAGTTATATTTTACAAGAACTGTGTATTTGTCTGATCCAACCTCATAACCTCATGGTAGCTTTAAAGGAGGGCATAAAAGTATAGTAGATCCCCAGTACAGACACAGGGTGACACCAAATGGTGATAAGAAAACAGAAGACAATTTAACAATGTTGTCTTAGATGTTCAAGCATTTAAATGCAGAGAAACCTTTTTTAGATGCCGCAATTTCTCTGGTATCTGAACTTTCTATTCCAATTCTGAATACAAGAGAGAAAACCAAAAAGCCCAAAACAACCAAAACCCCATATCATCACCACCACACTGAAGGGGGGAACATTCAAGTACCAGCCTTCAGAAGCTCAAAGATTTCCATTCCCTAAGAATAAATCTTCATTTTGGATTTTATTCAGAGATAAGTGCACTACTCACAGTTTATTGTTACCTATGTATGTAAGGAGAAAGCACTCTTTATTCAGACAATTTGTTCTAGTGTTATTGACCATCTGGCTTTATTCACTCTTTAACAGTGCTGCACGGCTTGGCTGTACTACCATTAGCTGTAGGTAGGTCATGAAAAGCTGTTGATGTCCAAATACGTGGCAATATTACGATGGCAAAAATCCACAGCCCCCACACTACCTCCATTCCAAGTTCAAGCCTTGAGATCCAACTACTTTAACAGGAAAGCTTAGGGATAAAAACTACGTCATTAAATCCAAGATTTGGGTCATCCTTTGGGTTTCTTAGTCTATCCATACCTGATTTGAGGTTTCCATGTTAGTACTACGATTAGATCGCCTCCGAGTGACTATCACAGAAGGCTTGCGTTCACAAGGAGCTCGATCATTTGTCTGGCCTCTCTGGAGCTTTCCATCCTCAGACTTTTCTTTCCCAAGGCTCTGCAAGTCAATTTTTCTCACTGGCACAGACACAGGAATGATAAGAGGCACGAGGCTGTTATCCTCTCGGGCTCTTTTGGGAGCTGGTGAAGAACTGGCAAATTCCACCACACTTTTTGCAGCTGTAGGTCCTGGAGCTGCTATCAACACACTCTTCTCTTCTGAAGTATCCGCTTCCTGAGAAGAAAAATAGAGTCCTTAAAAGTTCTGTAGCACTTATATAATAGATCAGAGGGTATCTCACCTTCATTGTGTATCAAGTTTTTTAATGTAACTTGCAAGCTGAAATAGATCTAGTAAAGCAATATTAAAGGAGAAAGAATACTTGAGGACTACCTCAACTGGTAGAGTATTTGTATACATCATTCTTCAGTATCACTTCACTACGTATGGTCTGACATTTTATTTTCCAAATGAATTTCTTTGTTGAAGAACTTCCAACAAAGGTTCTTCAGTTTTAGTAATGATCAAAAGCTGCAGGTTATTAATTTCAAATATTGGACCTCTGTTCCCAGAAAGGCTGAACCATGATAATCTTAATTAAATCTCTCGTACAAAAAATGGAGCTAGATTTTTGCTGCATTTTTTTCTGCTTTACATCACAGAAGCAACTTTCCTTATAACTGGAGCCTTTGAGGTTTGTTTGCTTGAGCCTGAAGGACATTTGCTCAGCAGAATCAACCAGGCATACCTGCAAGCCAGCACTTTTTGCATGGGTATTACAGTTTCCATGCTTCTGCTTTCTTTTAGACTCACAGAAACCCCAGAAAATTGAGCTCCAAGGAGATGGGAATGGAGGGTGAGTTACTGAATAAACGCACAGATACTGTAAAGCCAAATGGCTTCATGCACTGTTAGATCACCAATTTCTCGTCCTTCAAATGACATGTGCATTCCACTCTTGATTCAAAAGCAATTGCCAGCTCACTTAAAAGCTAGATATCAAAGTACAATTTTCAAAACCACCTTTCTTCAGCCTTCTTAAGCTCTCAAGAAGTGCAATCTAGAAGTTGTAGAAGATGCTCCTTTTGGTGTTTCAGAGCTTCTCTCCGACTTAGAGCTCTGTTTGGAAAGCCTTTGGATAGGATTAGGTATGCAAACTTACCCTCCATCAAAGCCACCATCTACTAAGGCATCTCTCTCTACCTGAACAGCTATGTTTTGCAGGTGGAAAGCAAGGCACACTATCTCTCAGGTATGACAAGAGGTCTCTAACCCGGACTTACAAAGTTTTGCAGAGATTTACTGAAGTCCTTCAAAAAGAATCAATCGTGTGCCACTCAGAACATCTAACCTTGATTTAAAAACTAGCATAAGGAGGTTCTGTCAAGTATTCAGACACCACCACCACACTAGTCATTTCACTGTGGTCACAAATCATGAAAACCAGCTTCACTGATGAGAGAACATGCTCCAGCTGGCCCATGAAGAGTCAATCCATGTTAGCTAGAAGGACACTAGACTGAAGTCTGACTTTGATAGTGTATTTATATTGAGGGAAACACAACTGTGTTGTCACAAGATGTGTCAGTCAGTGCCTGGAGTTAGTGGTCTGGATTCTCTCCAAGTAAGAGTCCTGCTATTTTTTTGTTGCTTTTAAGATCAAAGAGTCCACTCTGAAGCACTAAGCCTTCAAAAAAACTAGGTGCCAAGCTTGAGCAAATAAAATCAATCATATCAAGAAGATTTAAGACTGTCTTCTTCCATGATCTTTATTAAAGTAAGGCTAAGCATGCACAGAAAGGTTTATCCCATAAGTGACACTGCTGTTCAGAAGTCTGATTGCTTCTTCACTGGAGGTATCTGCTCCCCACCACAAAATGATGAAACATACAACTGATAAGTCACAACTGGCATCATCTGCCCCAGATTACATTGCAGAAAGAATTAAAGAGCTCTGAGGACCTCCCTTCACTCCAGCCTGGTAATATGCATCTGTACTTTCCCATGAGACTACCAATTCTGAATTTGGAAGGCATTCATCATGCTGACAGGTATTGGCACTCGGGACACCACTACCTCTAGGCAGTAAGGGGCTCTTGTAAATTGTTGTAGCCTCCCTCCACTACTTTTGGAAAGACAGACTAAGGGTGCCTTTGTAAACACACAAACAGATTGGAATCAGATGCATACTTCCACAAGTCCTGCCCATACCTGAAGCAGCAGCTCACATACAGCTTCATGCTGCTATACGTGGGCCTCCATTCATCAGGGAAATTTATGCTGTTATTACCTTATTACTGAAGCCTCAAACCTGGGACAGCTCTGGGGTATCCTAGCAGTGAGATCTACAGCAGATAGTTTTGCACCACTGTTTACACCACTGCATTCATAGTACATTCTGTAGACCACTGCCTAGTGTAGCTGTTTCTACTGCAAGCACTCCAACATACTTCTGCATACCTGAGAGAATAACAGCAATCAAACAAGTAATTGCAACATGAATGTGTTAACGAGCACCAATTCGAACCAATCTACAAACCTCACATACTTCCTGTGTGCAGGTCAAGAGACATGAACTAATTTCCTGACTACAAAGAGGAAATTCTGGCAGCTAGTCACACAAAAGATGTCACATTGCTCTGGCTGTATGATCAGTTAATCGTGATCCCTTTAATTTTCAAGACTGGAAGGTAACCAGCAAAGGACTTTCTTCCTTGATGATGGGAAAGATGATCCCTTTGAGAGAAGGAGGAGACCTGAACAGTAGCAGAAATAGAGAGAAGGCACCACTGGGAACATAATATAAATAGCAGAGACATCCTTAAAGATGCTCTGGTCCACACTAGAGCTTTTCTGGTAATGAAAGATGGCACATACCTGATTTTACTAAGAGAGGACATGACAGATATTGGAATTAAGCTGTTTGTTTCAGATGCCTAAATAGTTTCTCAACTGTTTACACTCAGAGATAAGCAGAAAGAAGTCACTGAACAAAGGACAGGACAATCCTTTGTAGAACTGCTGGGGATTTTCAGCTAGCTCAGCATCTCTCTTGCAGAATCTGAGGCTTGAAGGCTGCTGGATAACTTCCAGGAAGTGCAACTTCCTACATTTCTATTTAGATTCTTGCACAGGTACAAGCGATGAACTAGTGATCTGGAGTCCTCCAGGAAATCCACAGAAACCCATCAGTCATTCTGGCATTGACTCTGTCTATCCCTCAAAGTGGTTTCTAAACAAATTTAGAATTCGAAGACAAAACCTAATTGTGACAGCTGGAAGAACTGTTCCAAGGCCACTGCTGTGATCACAAGAAACCACACCAGCCTTTTCAAAACACTTGCCCATACAGCACATTCTGACATTCCTGACTTCATGTGTGTGTCAGCAGGTGCCCTGCCTTGTGCCAGGGGAAAAGAGGCCAGGTAACTAAGCCCTCTTTCTCCCTTCCATAAAGGAATATTTAAATCCAGACACCCTTAAGACAACCATTTCAGATCTGAGAAAAGTCTTCTGCACTATCAAAGAAAACAAACTACACCACGTTTTTACATATAACATTTTGTGTGAAATGAAGCCATAAAACCAAGAGTTGGAAATTTGCTGTAGCCTGTAAGCAGCAGTAAGTTTGCAACACCTGAAAAAAGCAGGCATGGTACAACGGGCAACTCTGGTGCAAAGCATCGGTTGTGACACTACATGTAGACAGATACTGCTGTCCAAAAGATTGTTTTTGCATAAAAGTACACACCTACATTGGAACATTCACACAACTGGTTCAAATTATGAATGTATCTTCTTTCACTAATAATTTAACCCTATGGCTGCCTTACATGCTCTCCACATAAGCTACACTAGAGAAGGCTTCTAGGTTGTTTGTAACAGCAAGACACTGCTAAAGAGCAGCAGTCTCTTTATGTCTTTACTCTCCTCCAGTAAACATGTTTTCTTTTTCTCCCTCACATGGCAGCCAGCCCCTTAAAGATGTAAAATCCATCAGACCTCAGGTAAGAATTTTATCATCTCTCAAAACATCTTCCTGAAAGCCTGAAGAGATTTAAACATAAAGAGTTCTTCTGCTAGTGCCATCATGGAAGCAAACAAGCTGCTTGCGTAACTGCAAAGAACAAAAGAGCATCTGCCAAAACACTTTTCTGTTTGGTCTTTACATTATGAATCCAGCTGCAAGCCTAAATGCCTTCCAAAGGCCAATTTCCTGCTTCACCTCTCAGGGCCTTTTCCTAGATGCTCTATTAGCTTTTTGCCACTCTGTTGGCGATCAGACTGCAATGTGAATTATAGGCCTTCCTGAAATATAACCATATAGTGCCTGGGAAAGTATGAGCAAATTGCTCACACTGCTAACTACTACTAGTTTTCTACTATATCTGCTTGTTCAACTGGAGTTAGAGCAAAAAGGTTGGAAGACAGCATCAACAGTCACTGGTTACTGTTTGCTGATGGACTAGGCTATGGATATTTGCCTCATTGTTTATTAATTCAGTTCTTTCATTCAAAAAGCACATCCCTCTAAGGAAGGGATTGGAAAACATGTCCACAAACAGACTAGGAAAAAAATTATAATGAGAGCAAGAGAGGGAATAAAATTCCCTTCCCTTTGTTGTCTGACTGGGCGGCAACTCAAGTGGCAAAACTGTAGGTAAAAGTATGCTCGTGCTCTAACACCCATACTTCATCAGCCTCTGGCAACAGAGCCTCCAAAGCAAAGTATATCTTTACTTCTCATAAAAGGCACTCAACAAAAGATAAAAGAAAAACCACAACATAAAACACCCATCAAAAACCCTCCACCCAATTAAAAAAAATCCCACCACTTCCCTCCCCCTAATTATCAGTCTAATCAATTTTGAACCTTGTCATTTGCCACATGGAATACATACTGTACAGTTCAGACTGACGGGATGCCAAAAGGATAAGAGTAGTGAATTAACTTATCAGCCAACACTAAATTTCTTCCCCATCTAGCTCTACAGAAGGTCTACAGACAGCCTTTGTCCTCAGGTTACCAATCTCTACATAATTCACTGCAGGTCATTCTCAAACAGGATACCACAGACAGACCTTTATCACTCCTGGTACAACTTCTTCATCCAAGCGAGGCTTCCTCAGGCTTTTAATATTTGCAAAATATTAAACATGTAAATTGCATCATGTAATTTTTAAATAGTTTAGAAACACTTCAACTGCTAAAACTGGAAAACTGGCAGGTAAACAGTCTTTTAACATAAAAGGAAGAGAATGTTCAATTGGTAAAAAGACACCAAGTGAACTGCTTATACGTGGCTCTCAAATCCTGATCAGCTTGAGGCCTAAAGCTGAAAACATTCATATTCTGAAGCCCTGGGCTAGAATCACATTCAGTATTGGTGAAATAAAACTGCCCTTAGGTAGTTTCACTGCAATAGATCATCTCTATTCTCCCACATCTATGAATTCCAGTAGTTGAACTTACATGTCAGCTACTCCAGAGCTGCCCTTGCTGCACTACAACACTTCCTGCATCAAAATGCCATCCTATCCTGCATACACATCTAAATGCCTTTCATTTTAGCCCTATTTTGTAGTCTAAACCATGCTATATTAGTTAGGATGCACACCTTACCTTTACATTCTGAAGAGAAGCCAGCTCAACAGCTTTTTGAGCCAAAGTTAGCAAATTGGCTTCTTGAGAAACACGCCGTCTCCGTCGTGTACTCTGGATGACACCACCTCTGACACCCTGAAAATCATTAGTTCTCTGAGTGTTTTCTTCAGCTGCTGCTGCCTGTTTCTCTTCATCTCTACCATTCTGGGCTGTGGTTTGTCTGTCTCTTTCCATCTGGCACAGCTCACTATTGACCAGGACATCCTTCTGCCCCATATCCAGTCTCTTGGGGTGCAAATAGTTGCTTTTGTTGTGGGCCAGTGATTCAGGTGGCTGCTGTAATGGGACCTCCTGCTGATGGGTTTGCCAGTGATGCAGGAATAAATTGCTAGGTTGTTCTTCTGACTGCTTGGAAGCCAACACTTCTCCTGCAGATGTCAGCAGGACACCTTCTTTGGAGAGTCTCCGTGACCTTCTTGGAAAGGGAATCTGGGTCTGAGGTAGCACAGTCTGTTGGTTCTGCTCTGTTAGAGCCTTGAATAGTTCCTGGTTCCTCTCTGTTTGCTGAAACTGGTGTGCCATCATGTGATGCTGAGGTGCTGCAGCTGCCACATGAGGCTGTGCTATGGAAGTAGTTTGCTGCAGGCTGAAGGCTTGTGTGGCAGCCTGTTGCTGCTGCTGTTGAGGGTAAAAATTTTCAAACAGCTGTAGTTGGGGAAGAGCTTGCTGTTTTTGCTGAGCAGTAAATGCTGGACTGGAAGAAGCTGGGGCTTCTTGAAAGACATGTAACAATTCAGGAAGACCCTGCTTTTGGCCTTGGTGACCAAATGCAAGTTGGAAAGGCTGTAATGGCAGACTCTGATTCTGCTGCTGCTGTTTCTGCATCTGATGGAAAGAATTCATTTGAGCTTGCTGCCTAACCAGGGCTTGCTGTTCCAGCTGAGCCTTCTGCGAAATCATCTGCTGGACAGCATCTCCGTACAAATCCAGCTGGGACACAAACACTCCTTTCTCTTGATTTCTTTTAAGGGCTTCTGCATGGCCATAGAAGCCTGGGGCACCAGCATTGGCGTGGGGTCCTTTTGGGTTGCCTCCAAAAACCATACCATGGTTCCACATCGAAGGTGGAGACTGCCAGTGGCCATCACCCCTCTCTGGCAACCGATTTCCCATTAGGGAATTCTGCCATTTGACAGCTGTTACTGCCTGGGACATCATCATTGATTCTCCCCTATCTTGATTGTAAACAGAGTTCATCAAAGCAACATTGTTGGGGGCACTTGTTAATCCTCCTGCGTGAGAAATCTCCATAGTTTGGGAGACCGGTATATTCCCTCCATGGCCATAGTACTGCCCTTCCTTCAGCGGCTGCTGAGGTTCTTTTGAGGACACAGCTATTTCCTGCTCATTAAAATAGGCAATTCGTTTCCCAGTCCTTTTGTTTGAAGACTTTTGCTGAGCCTGAAGATTCATGGTTCAGTCTATTCTCCCAGCTGCACACACTGTACTTACAATCCACCCATCCCTGAGGTTGGGGGAGGAAAGGCACAGAAGTCTCTCTTTTCCATTCAGTTTTAGTAATAAAGGGCAGGAAAGCAGTCCAGAGGAAAGTGCCTCACTTCCTTCTTCTTCACGTGTTTCTCCCACTTCTTTTCACTCTTACGCTTTGTGGTTCAGTGGTCAGTAGGGTCCACTTAGTTACAGATCCTAAAATAGAGAAGAAATTGCAATGAATCATCAGACATAACCTGCATATAAACCCTTACATGATAAGCTACAATGTGTCTGCCCCATTTCCCATGAAAATGAAGATTAGGATAATATGTGTAATAATAACAGGTCTGACCTACTAAAATGTAAAACAATTTAGTTTTACCAAACACATATCACACTGTATTTGCATGATGCAACTCCTAATTGCACACAGACTTCTGACTCATCACTCAAGCACATCCTGAAGGTTTTTCTCTCAAACTCCCTCTCATTTGGCCAGTTACTTCTGTGTCTTTCTATAGCCAGAATAAGCTGGTTTTAATCTGAACTCAAGAACACAAACCAAAAAAACCCTCATGAGCCGCCAAAAGAAAAATAACGTGTCAGGCTGCATTTCCCAAAGACACTCAAAACACACACATGTACATGAATGAAGCCGAACATGCAGCAAGATGCTGGATTCGGTGTTTTGAAGGAAAGGATCAGGTGGCAGCCCATCATTCACACCCCCTCCCCAATCATAACAGTTGCTTTGCAATTAAGAACTGCCCACCAAGCACCCGGGCAATGAAGACAGGGCCTGCTCAACCTGTTGCCCTCTCAGATGCTTTCTTCAACAGCTGAAAGCAACTGCTCCTGCTCAGGTCACACTCATGGGAAAAGTAGTTCAGGCAGATTGTTACAGCTGCTCTCAGATGCCAGCAAGTATCTGCTAGTGTAGAGCTACAAACATGATAAGAGAAAACCTCCCCGGAACATGCAGTCTAGGACAGTGCTACCCTCCTTTTCCACTGAGAACCGCTATCCACAAACTCAGGCTTTAAAAGCCAAGTTTGCAGGATTAAAGTCTAATGTGTTAAAACATCCACTAGTATTTCTATAACAACATGTAAAACCTTTTAAGAATCTTAGTTTTAAATTAAGTTACATTCTTAAACTACTAACACTCAAGGTAAAGTGTCTCTATTACTATCTCTTTCCAATATGCATCCTGTCCCACTTCAAAACACACTGCTAATGTATTTCAGAAAAGTTCTAATAAATTGTTAAAAACCTATTCTTACTGCATCCCTTCTGCTATAAAATTAGGTTTCTCTTGAGTGAAGCAGGTTAAGACCCATATCTCCTCCAATAAAACCCGCAATCCATTTATCTCTATAAAATGAAAACTAATAAACCAAAAGCATACAGCACGCTGCAGTCCCGTCACTGAAGCTTCCTCTAAACAGATATGGCTACAGTGCAGATTTTAATACTGAGCTGGGTTGGGAGCATGAGGAGGAGGAAAAGACAAAGCGTTTAAATGAACTTATGCAACTTCCACCTCAGAGGCCAAGCTTGGCTTCAGCGCTACTGGAACCATGGCCTGTGTTTCAGAGAGTGACTCACTTCCTCAGGCTGTTACATAGCTGTTCCCTCTGCATTCCCTCCCCCTTTGCCCTGGCTGCAAACCATGGATCTCTGCCACCCTGTATCACGGAGCCAGGGCGTTCCTCCCTCCTCTAAGCACAACGTCTCAGCTCATTATTCCAGTCCTCTCTGAACAGAGCAAAAATAACTGTAGGAGAAATTACGGACACGTGAGATGGAAAATTCTCTCTAAACTGCAACTAGTACACAAATGAGGACTTCATAAAGTAAGTTTTTCCTATTATCAAAACTTCACTAGGAGAGGAAAAAACATCCTACAGTAGGAAACTAGATCCCTGGTAGCAAAAATGGAGAGGTGGAAAGGTTGCTACATGTCTCTCAGGAGCACTAATGTGTTACACTCTCCCCTTGCTTTTTGCAGCGCTGCCATAAATGTAACAGAGCGAACAGCTAAACCACAATACCTGAGATAATACGACTTAACAGTGCTTCCTGACAGCATCTTACTTCTTATGAAATCATCACAAGGTATTTTTCTCCCCAAACCAGGCACCCTTGTAAGAGTTTTCCTTCCTCTGATGCTTCTGCGTGCTCTTTTTATTGATCAGTCCATGATTCTGATAAAAAGAATGTAAGTTTTTCTATATATCAGAAGATACTGCTGCTCGATCAAATTTAAAACTGCCCAAAAGCTGACATACCACTTCAGGAGTCTTTTGGTTTAATCCTTCTGAAACACCAAGAACAAACAGCTGTGCTGTTCTTAATAGTGGTGACTGAGGTTTGCAACTACCACACATACGAGTATCCAGAAGACTTTTAGAGAGAGAGGGTGCTGACGTTAGCAAGGAAGCATTGTGTTAGCATGGCTCTCCAAACCTCCACTTGTGTGGACTGTGGCTCTCTTTCTTCCATTACTAGGTAAGAAGCCATCAGCATTGCAAAGCCTAACTCAGAGCAGTTTAGAACTGCACCTACATAGGAAAGAGATGTAACAAAAGTAGTAAGATGCAAAGCTTACAAAAAAAAAACCACAGTAAATTCAGAGATGACCTAAAGGATGGAAAGGAATATGTACTCGTGTGTTCCATAAAGGGAGTCCTAAAAAAATATTACATGCCTCTTAGGAAAGTTATTTTGTCACTTGAGAAGACTGTAGGGATTGAAGAACAACTGAATTTGCAACAGCACAAAACCCAAGATACTGAAAATGACTGAGGAAGAAAGAGATTTAAGCTACTTTGAACAAAGCCCACTTACTGAACATCCCAATTCTCCCAACTGTGTGCAAAAAATAAATCCTAACTAAAAGATCACCAAGAAAAAAAAAAATATATATATACATATATACAAAAAAAATTTGGTGCATCCAGTATTAGATAGTAAAATAAAACATCACAAAAATAGCTTTTTAGAATTTCTATCTATATAGAAAAACTGCAGAAAAGTATCTTTTAGGTCACCCTAATATAAAAGTCCATAGTTTAAGCTGAAGCAATGGACATTCAAGCTGCAGCATGACTACGCTCCAGGAAAGCTCACACTTGGCAGCTTCACTGGCTGAGCATTGCTGGCTCTGTGACTAAGCAGGCTTCCCTCCCTGAGGCTGAGGGATGAGCTCACATTATCATCATCCTAGCCACTTACCAGCTTTGGGTTTTTTTGTTTTACTTTAATTTCAGCACAAGAGTCAGCCTGCAGCAGCACAGTAAAATGGCAACACACTTCGGAGCAGTATGCCCCAACCATTCCTCACCTTTGAATAAAGCACAGAGCCAGTTCTGATAAAATTCCCAGAAGATACTGTGTCTTGCCTCCAGATATACTGAAGTGTTATGATACCTTGCATTTTACATTGCACAGAGAAAAAGCAGAACCTAGCATCAGTATATTTTGGTTTAATAACTCTAAGATTTGGCATGCAACATTGTCAGTTATTTTCACTTCCAGGAACTTCTGGCATGCCAGAACTTCTCTCAAACTTTCTTCACATGAATACGAATGGTATGTCACTTCCTTTAATACTGTCAATATTGTCAGATATAAAAGGAATTTTTCATGTTGCAAGGCTTTCTCTTCTACACCTAAAAAGAATGTCACATTAGATACATATATACCCAACAGGCACTTACACAGTATTTTCTGGAACATAAAAATACATAAAGCAAAGTAACCTACTTACTGACAGAAGTTAGGGTTAGCATTTTTAGCTAACACTTCTCCAGCATATCTGCACGACAGCATCAAAATCATAAACACATATAAAACCCCACATGGGCTACATTTAAGCAAAGCCTCCCAAAGGACTTACTTAAGTATACAACAGGACTAAGGAGGAGTCTCTGCCTGCAATCAGGATGCTGTTCTCAAAATCCTTTCAAAGCAGAGATCTCTGAGGTGTGCAGGGCACAGGCACTCAAAGTCACTCGCTAGGCTGGTACCAGCCCAGGGCACCCATTAGCAGATTTTACTCAACCCAAATTAGGTCCACCACTTGAATCTTAGCTTTTAAATACTTCTATTTTAGGTTTGGGATTTTGTGGTGGTTTTTTTCATGTGAAAAATAAAGTCTTCCTGGGTTCTAGCTAATGTATGTTCTCAGACTTAACTGCAATGATGCTGTCACAGTTCCTTACAGGAAATCTGTTAAATGACAATGATGGGAAAAATTTCTTACTAAACCCTTTTGCTGCCAGCAACTCAAATTACTGATCCCCCCTGTAAGAAGCTCAATTACTTGTAACAATGATGAACAGATTCCAAGAACAATTTTTACATATAAGTCAAACACAGCAAGCTGCTTAGTGTACTTCTGAGATGGAGCAGTCGAGCCTTCCTTCTCCAATTTGCTTATTATTATGGTCAAATCCCACATTTATGAAACAGGTGAAGAATCATGACACACATTTCACTAATGAGGAACAAAACCAGAGGAACTAACTCACTTCTCAGACCACACAACAAACCAGGTAAAAAAATCCAAGAACAGAATATAGGATACTAGCTACCAGTTCCCCTCCAATCCTGAAAGATAAAAAGGGTTTAAATCTACATGCAAAAGACAAAAATTGGGTGGGCTATTTAAACGTGTGCAGAAAGAGCAAAGGAAATTTAATTCCTCCAGGACAGAAATAGTTCAATTCAATAGGGCAGGTTTTGTTTGTGGGTTCTGTGATTTTGTGTTAAGGGGTTGGGGTTTTTTTGGTTGGTTGGAGTTTTTTAAATGACTGGATACTTACAGGGCATCGCTTGTCCCAGGTAACAGATATTTGCCCCTATGAAACAACCACCATCTTGAGTGAGAACCAAGAAAGCAACGAAAACATGGGTCAGTTTTTGTGTTTGCTAGAAGACCTGCAAAGCTTACTGCACAACTTACCCATTTGTGATGCTTACCCTGCTGTATATGAAAACAGCTTCACTATGTCCCTCAGAAGCCTCTCCTGCACACTCACTTGGGTCACGTTTTCTTGCAGACAACTACATCAAAATTCCTGCAGATTGTTTGCAACCTCCCACTAACCAGCTTCAGACACCTTGAACAGGAAGGATAACAGCACAGCTTTCCTACATACTGTCCTTGGGAGGGAACAAGAAAAAACAGAAAACAGACCATGTT